TGAGACAGGCTTAAATGAACGAAGCGGACAGTGATACGTCATATAGGCAACCCCAACTTGTTTTTGGGGGGTGGGGGGTTTCCAATAGGGTTTGGCACAAAGAGCTTCAATGGGTTATTTTTGCATCATATCGAAGAGCTGACAATGAAGACAGAGGATCATTTTAATAAAATAAATGCACTTAAAAATACTAAGAACTCTTTTATCACCTTTTTTTTGTTTTAAAAACATTGTACTTGCATAACATTGGCATGAGGTGAGTTTTTTTTTCCTGATAAATATTGGCATGAGATGAGTTTAAATTGAGTAACATGGTCAGTGAGGATCCTATACACGACCCCAACTTGTTTGGGACTGGGGTGTAGTTGTTGTTATATTGTTTTGAAAAGCACTCAACTACTTTACTGCAAGCTATTGAAAAGAAATCAAAATTTCTAACTACATAACAAAAATAAAAGGAACAATAATTTCATCTTAAATTTGAATGACCAAACGAAACTGACAAATTAATTTTGATCAAGTCGACACTGACAAACTTTTGCGGGCTATAAGATGGCTTCTTGATCATTAGGTGTTGAATAACACATTCTGGAGGAGCTTTAACCCAAATTTGAAATTCAAAATAGTTAATTTGTTTATTTGTTCTAGGTTTTTTATTTTGAAGACATTATAATCAGACATTAAAATAATTTCACATTTGATATACATGAATATAAGAAATCAATGATTTGCACCTAAAAGTTGCCAGAGGACAAAAAAAAGTAGCATTCACCAAAATTACAGGGGGTAGTGAAATTAGTAACTAGAGCAGGAGTAGAACATCCACAAGTTGAAGGGACTTGCACACAAATGCCAAATTGATCAGCTCCAAGAAAGAAAGTCAAACTCATACTAACAATGACAACGGCTAAACTTACAGATCGCTTATCGAAGTAAACGAATCCAATGGTGGAGCTACCTTTCCTGGATAGAGCTATCCTCTCTACCTGAGATATATTAATCACATGTATGGAAGAAGTCATCAGAGTTCAATTTTTTTGAAATTTTTAATGCAACTAATAGCGAAACATCAAAATGAAATTGCAAGGTAATAATACATTGCCAAAGGGCTGAAAGAGCTTCTTCAAGTAATCTTCATCAGCACCAGGAGGTACATTTCTAACGAAGGCTGCTTTGATCTGACAATCCAAACGAAGGTAAGGTGAAAATAACAGAAATCTAAGGATTTTCATTCTATGAGTATCGTAAAAGGGAAGAGAGGAAAAAACCTGAGCAAGTTCATTGGGATCAGGTTCCTCAGCCCACTGTACAGATGGATGTAACTTGCCATCAATGAGAAAATCAGATTGGGAGCCTACCCGAAAAGCACGAGCCGCAGCCTGTGATTGAGAATTTTGAAGGAAGTTTATATTTGGGATTTGTTTTCATTAGAGTAGCATATTCATAATGGGGTGGAAGTATTGGATTTTATTGAATTATTTATTTGGCAGGGACCAATGGTTACAGCACTATATTCAAGAGTTTTGGGCAACAAGACGGTGAAGCAGTTTGAGCGGAGAAGACAAGGACAAATTATTTGAAGTATGAATTAATACATATTCCTTCTGCTCTGATTCTTACCGAAGATTTTGAACTATGAACTTGCACAGCAAGATACAGTAACTTTAGCTCGGGAAAGGCAACAGATTAAAGGCCAAATGAGGGTTCCAATCCACCATGAAGATATTTTGACCCAACTTGCCGTAAATTGAGCAGATTACATAATCATATGAAGTTGGTTAAGTTCATAGTCGAGGATTAACAAAATTTTGTTTCTCACTTACAAGCTATCTCAAATCCTATAGAGGCCGACACAGAGGTTGACATTATAGCATCGAAGATGAGTTTTTTCCTGACAAATGACATTGAGACTGGGATTTATGGATATTAGCATCTCTTTGTTACTTCAACAACACTATGCCTTAATCCTAAACTAGCTGGGATCGGTATATGAAATCCTCTGTATCTTATGATAAATCAGAAAATAAGAGCTAATATCCATAAGATCATAGCTTCATTTAAGATTACCAATTGTTCTAGAACTACTTAGGTACATACAATTGAATCATTAATGACTAAGAATCTACAAGTTTATTAACAGCTAGAAGAATCAAGAAAATAACAGAAAACATTGATTCCAGTATGTAACTTCAACAGAGTGCCTATTTACACATTTTTTTGAGCATTATCTATGTAAAACATGAAAATATTACAGACGAGACCAGGAATCAACATAAAAAGATAGACTGTGCAACGATATTAAAGAGTTGGTTTGGTTCTTCCTGCATTTCAAAATTAATATCTAGTTATGACTTGGCACTGGTAGGCCTGAGCAAAGATACAGAGGTTTGAAGCTGGAAAAATGTAAGGAACTTTCTCTTTTTCTTTTGGCGGAATTGGAGTAAAATTACCTTTTAGGAAAAGCGAGAACTACTTTGAACAGACCACAAAACAAAGATTGAGACTCGGCTTAGGACCTAGGAGCAGTATATTATCATGTTATAAGGAAATTAAGTAAATTGTCCACAATAGGCATAAAAATTGGTTTTCAATAGGAAAAGTCAAGTAGATAATTCAAGAATATGGGTAGCAAATTGGACAGCTTTTATAAGCTTGAATTCTTAACACATGTGAATAATGTTTGGACCTTTACATTGGTCAAATAATATTTGGTATATTCTATTTGTATAAGTATGTCAGACATTTGAAATATCCCTAAGAGAGAGTATGTGACTGAAAGAAACTGAAGCAACTGGTCAAGCTAACTGGATGGGTTATAACAAAGGCTAGAGAATGTAGACAACTAATAGCAAGAGGAAATAGGTCAAGATCCAGAGAAAAGAACAGTGTGACCTAAAGTATGAGAAAAATACAATAAGTTACTGCATGGAGACTCCAAGTATGTGAAATGATATTGTTAATATCATACTCCAGGAAAATATTGTTTGTCATGGAATCCATGACAGAGACAGCCGGCAGCAAGAATCCCAATAGCAGTAAGAGACAGACCATTTTCACGACATAGAATAACTACTAGAAAAGGAAGTTCAAACTGAAAGAAAATAGTTTAAATCCTCAAGCAGATTACGAGTGTTAGACAACATAATTCATCTTCTCCCAATCAACATATATAAAAGAGACATATCTTCTCCTCAATAGTGATAATACACATAGCTTCTTGTTGGAATTTTTGCATGACCATGAGATATATAGAAGAATAGCTTGTGCATTTGAAATTTTGTCACAGGAATCTTTAAAGTCCGCTTAGATACTTGTATGCCACTACAGGGAGAAGTGTAACATTTAAATAACATTTAACTATAGAGAATCTCTACTTAAAAATCAACCCAAATAAAATGAAAGGGATAAGGAGGATTCATAGCAGATCCAGGTAGTTTGGGTTGAGACATAGTTGATTGATACGAGATATACAGACATTTATATCTACTAATTATATCAGTGGCTGAACGTTATATTTCCTCAGGTGTCTATCAAGTCAATGATGATGTACTTGAATGGTTGGGCATCTCACACATATGGAGCTACATGTTTTGCAAGAATCACAGGATTCTGGGATTCACAAGTAATAATAGAAGCATCAAGGAAAGTGATGCATCCCAGACGTGTTATTTTTACTTTACAATATTACTCAGGATGTTAGCCACAAATTAGCTCGAAAGCAAAGGTGGAGAATATTAAGCAACTTGTACAGATTTTCAAGTGCATAGATGAATCACCTCTGATATTTGGGTTTACCCTTGGAAGAAAATCAGAAACTGTGCCGTGGAATCCGGCAACTGTGAAGGTTGAGAAAACCTTAGAAGGACGTAAATGAAGTACTTGCCTAATGAAGGAAGGAGGTTTTAAGCAAAGTACACAGTCTAGCTTTTCCACGTACTACACGTCTTTGATGCACATATCCACAGCAATAGTGGGAGTATTTTAAGAGAAAACAAGGAAATTTCTTGAGGGATTCAACAAGAGTAGAAAGTTTCCATTGACAAGGAAGATAGCAACTTCTCGCAAGGGTGTGAGAGAGCTGAGGGTCTTAACAAGGCTCCACTGGGAAAGTGGATAGGGAGGTTTAGATACAATTCTGGCATTATGTACCGTGTCATAGCAGAGAAATATGGAGTTTAAGAAGTGGTCGGAGAACTGCTTAGATTTCAATGCCATATAGTGGGAGGACTATGGCAGTGTATAATGAAACTGTGAGAGGAGTTTACAGGGAATGTTAATTTCAAAATGGGAAATTCAGCCCTGGTCAATATTGGAGATAGATGATGTGATTTTTCTGTCCATCACTTATCCAGCTATTTACTCAATCTCATGTCAGCATAAACTAAATGTTATTATACAGATCAGTGGAAAGAAACGTTCTGCAGGATTGAAAAGTTGAAGAACCCCAAAACCTCCTTGACCTGTTGTATAAGCAGAGATCTCAATCACACATCAGGACACGTGGAGATGAAACACAGAATGTTGTCCTTTTCACAATAAGGTTGTTTATCATAGGTTGATGAGAAGGGAGAACAAATTCTCCTTTGAATGATTAGCTGCATGTGAAGTCCTAGTCACAATAAAGTTTTGAGGAAAAGGAAGATAAAACCAGATTATCTAGTCGTTATGTCTAAAAAGGCAGGGGAGGATGTGAACTATCTATTACTACAGTCAAGTGGCACATCTATTATGGTACAAGCTTGGAATTGGTTGGGTGATGCCGAGCACCCTCAAAACCATGCTACATATGTAGGAACAGAAGGAGGAGAAGCAGAGGATTGAAATCAACCCCCTGAGTAATCACTTGTGGACAATATAGAGAGTGAAATCGACAAGCTTTAAGGAATGAAAATTACTTATGTAAGATTAGGAGATTTCTCTTTTTCTTATAGTATATGTTTAAAGTACCTATGAGGTAACAGTTAGCATAAATGGTTGGATGCTCTTGTAAAGAATCATACTCTTATTTCAAGTTCTCTACCTTTGTTTATTTTTTGCATGTTTTCCTTTTAAAGCAATAAAACTAATAATTTATCCAATAAAATAAAAAGAAAAGGGAATATATTAATACATTGAAGGGAAGGAAAAAGAATCCATTAACAACACATCATCTTTGATCTTACTTGCACCAGACAAGGAAAGCATAAGCAACTTAACAATAAACTAAGGCACCAGACAAGGAAAGCATATTGTTTCAGGGAACAATAAATTGAGGCGATAGCACTTAAGCACTTATGATCCATCAACGTCATTCTAGGCATACTCAAAGTTATAGATGAAAACATGGATACTGGAACACTGGAGACATCAACGATCAGATATTGGAAGTCCATATAGAGATGTCAGCTCTGGAGATACTAAAAGTGAAAACAACATTAGATGTACAAAAAGATGATAGTACTTTTATCAGTTTAGTTGATATAGAAATTGTATAGCATTACGCTTAGGATTCATATTAATATATGGAACTTTTATTTTGTCCTTTTTAGTATCCAATAGGCATATTAATTACCAACTCTTAAAGAGTTTCTCATTAGCGCATGTTGCATTTTAATGTGGTGTACATAATTTTGTAGAGAACAAAATTTGCAGCTTTTGTTTCACGTTTTAGAATGTCGCATATGCATTTCAGTCATACGTTAAAGATTGAAAAGAATGCTAGCGCAATATTTTAAAGCTGAATTTCCCAATCTGTAATAACATGTCTGAGAGTTTTTTCTTCTTTTTTTCGATAAGATGAGGTTAATAAAATGTCTGAGAATTTGTTTCATTAAGGGAGATTCCTCAAGAATATAGGCATCATAATTTGGTTCTGGAACTGAGAATCAAAACCACGAACCTGAGCTTCTATCCTGTAGTATTTAAGATGCAACAATATGAGTAAAAGTGATGTTACAACAAGGTTAAAATAATTCAACCACCATAATACTAATTAATAATGTAAAACATGGACAGAGGCATTACAGCATGAGATGGGAATTTCACGAAAGCAAAACCCCGATTCCGTTGCTTCTGACCAGGTTGGACATCTCCAAGAAGTGCAAGATCAACAGATACAACATCTGGAAAAACCTAGAGAGAGAGAGAGGGGGAGATGGATATTCAACAATATTTCAAGAGATTAAGAAAAGTGCACTGTAAGCAGTTAAAAGGTGTACCTGGCGCACAATACTCTCAAATTCCTCCGCACCCCAACCTTGAAATAGTCCAAACAAGCAATAAGGAAAGCACACAAACAAAGAAAAATTGTCTCTTGCTCAAGTGCCAGAAAACATAAGTAGAAGGAAGATGATTTAAGGCTCAAATTCACAAATCCAGAGAAGAAAATGTATCCTAGTAAACTACAAGAGTACAAAGCCCAAAATGAATGAGAAAAAGAAAAAGAAACAATTTAACAGTCAAATTCATAATCCAGATATAGAGTATACTGTAATAAACTACAAGCGTGAAAAGCCAATTATTATATAGCACCTGCATAACCAGAGTAGCAGCAAGACAATGGATATTTATGAAAGATCAGCCCGTAAAATTGTAATATAATGCTAAGTCCTTGTATGTTCAACATATCTTCTATGTAATGGCATCTTCTATGTATTGTCATTAAAGAACTTCTCCAGTGTCACAGAAAGACCCTAATTAAATCAGGCAATAACTCTTGCACAACAAGATTTGCAAGACAAGACGAACCTTTGTTAAGATTTCCAAGAAATAAAGTGTCCTGCTCAACTGAGGGGCGAACCCCGAGTTTCTTCCCATCCAGCTGAAATAATAGCCACAAAACAAATCTAATATAATAGGGAGAGAAAAATTCCACTGTTCAACAGAATACAAGCAACCAAACTCATAGCAGGATGACAATCTTTGAGAATCTTCCAAACATTTCATACTCAGAGAGAAGTAACTTTATCCAGTCACCGAGTTTCAAACCGTAAGCAACTGGCCCTCGGGGATTTCTCGGTCATCAAAAGAAAAATTAGTAACGGGTAATATGAGCCCAGATAAATTGAACATTGGTCCATGAAAACCATCTTTATGCCATTAATATAGTAAAACTAACTTAATACATTGCACAAAAAACACAATACAGTGAACAAGGAAATTCCCCATTTCCCTGAGAGTAGACTAAGTAAAACTTGAGAAGTGAACATATCAATCATATGCATAAAGCTTATTGATAACAGTTCCAATACTTCTCCTCAATTTGAGGCATAAAAATACTAGTACTCACCAAGCTTGTTAAAATATACAATGACTTCAAGGTCCCCCCTTAGAGGCTTTGTTGAGATGTTTGTTAGTTGTTCATGGAGATAACAGATTCAATGACTATTTCCTTGAAACGAACCTTTTTACCCAAATAAATTGGCAGGCCACATATATGCTCAGGTGCTTCATGAAAAATCGAATAGAGGTTGTGCACAATGCTGCTTGATTATCACAACATAACCTTATTCGTTTAGCATCTCCAAACTTCAAAGCTATAAGCAATTGTATAATCCATAGTAACTATAACCATGGGCTGAAACTTGCCTTATGTGCTAAAAACAATGTTATGTTTCTTAATTTTCCATGATATATACTCACCAGCAGAAAAGACATAGTATCCAGATATAAATAGTTGATCAATAGAAGAATCAACCCAATTTGCGTCAGAGTATCCTACATCTTGAGAATTTCAGTTATCTTTGCATAGTAACATTTAGCTTAGTGCTTTACTAATGTGCCATAGTTCATACAACAGCATCCCAATAATCAGCGTTTGGAGAGCCTGAATTGACAAACTACGACCACGGCAAAAGAAGGGCCTGATATGGTAATAGGAAGGTAGTTTAATGTACCAACCAACCTTTTGTTACCTGTTAAGATCTACACACGCTCCCCCTGATATGATAGGGGTTTACTATTTGGATCCATGGAACTATTAATACGTCTATGGTCTATAACTATCAATAGGTCTTTAGTCCAGCTTACAGTTTTTTACTAGACTAACATTACACTATGTTATCGAATATAACAGATAATCTAATGAATTGTACGTGCAAAGCCCTTTATTAAAGTTTCTAAGTCCTACTCAGATGTACTACATAATGCCCATAAAACTATTTGCTACTTAATTAATAAGTAAAGAGATATCCTAACAAAACAAAGGCGTCCATAGTTGAACAAATACCAAATTAGGTGTCCATAGCTATCCAAAGAACGAAAAAGAAAGTAAAAAGGAAAAAGAGAAACAAAAAACATAGAACAAATCAGTTGCTCCAATTGCTGGAACAAAAATCATGTATCTGACGCGTGAACTTTCAATAAAGCAAGATGCGTAATTCAAGCTTATCTTCGTGAAAAAAATATTGTCGTAATGAGCTAAAGTGTCAAAATGCCAAGAAATAGTTATACAGCAATCTTTTATTCTAGGGAAAAATCTATATTCCAAGTAAAGTGCAACTCTTTTTAATATTCTTATATGAGGACCAATTCTTGAATCAACAGAAGGCAAATCTTTGACAATGATGTAAGCCATCAACTAAAAGATTCTGTTAGTTACTAGGAGTATTAAACTATTGCTTATAATTCTCTATATTATCCAAGCAAGTGGTCGTCTTATGTACATGCATGAGCAATAAGAGCATCACACATGCAAGTTGATAGGAATAAGTGAAAATGTAAGAGTTTATCAAGACAAGACAATGAAATATCTAATGCATCTATCGTGAGGCNTATCAACCGTATTTCCACAATCTCACCACATGAAGAAAATACCTGTAAAATGCAGATGTTTTACACACATAATCTGACACAAATACAGAGTGATACTGTAAGATAGTTACAATCATTGACAATAAGAAGTCCAGCTCTAGTCATATTGTTCTTACCATTATGTTCCTGTAACCCCTAAACTCCGAAACACCAGCTTTTGGCATGGGATTGGTTTGTTAGTTTTTTAAAGATAAAAGTAGAGTCAAGAGAAATAAATTTGCAACTGCATAACGTAATTAGGTAAACTGATCTACCACAAAAAAAGGCATAATTAATTTTAACAATTTCCCCTCAAGAGAGAGGAATAAAAGAGACAAACAATAGTGGTGGTATCATATAGTGTATTTAGAACAAATTGATTATTAAAAGTAGAACAATATCCATTTTGTAATGTAATTCCTCAGAATAACAACAACAACAATCCAGTGTTGTCCCACAAGTGGGGTCTGGGGAGGGTAGGATGTACGCAGCCTTACCCCTACCCTGGAAGGGCAGAGAGAGTGTTTCCGATAGACCCTCGGCTACAGAAGGTGAGAGAAGCCCTGGTAGCAAGTAATAGCACAACCCTAATTCCTCAGAATAACAACAACAACAATCCAGTGTTGTCCCACAAGTGGGGTCTGGGGAGGGTAGGATGTACGCAGCCTTACCCCTACCCTGGAAGGGCAGAGAGAGTGTTTCCGATAGACCCTCGGCTACAGAAGGTGAGAGAAGCCCTGGTAGCAAGTAATAGCACAACCCTAATTCCTCAGAATAACAATTTATGAAATAACGAGCAAAAGGAGCAATTGTTTGTGTCATTAGCATAATAAGGGGCTTTTTGTGAAACCTAATATATGTTCATGAGTAAGGGTGACAATATACCTAAAATTGTAGCATAAAAAGTTAAAGTCACTACGTACTGCAAAGATTCGAGGAATAAACCCTACTTGCCTCAAATGAAGCATGATCTGTTTAAAAAATGACCCAACACAAGCCCTCAAAGACAGCAGAAAACTAGGCATCCCTAGAATTCAGTGAATTTAACCCTTTGACTGAATAAGCAATCTAACCTAACTCTAATTCTTCAAGTCAATAGGAGACTTAACTTAAATTGTTAGCTAGTTTAACAGATTGGCTAGACTATATAAGGTGAGAGAACAGTATGAGCAACACCCACACAGAAGGCATCAGTTTGAAGGATCAATCAGAGTTATGAAGGAGAGAGGGAGTCCGTCTATCTACTTTCCTTATCCTGGCTATGGAAAGTGTAAGAGGGATTCTAAGCAGGATTATGGTTTAGAGTGGGAAGAAGTATAAAGTCTGAAGTCACAGTTCCTCACATTTATGTGCTGATGGTACCTTGATTTTTTGGAGCAGAGGAGAAGCACGTATGATGCTAAAGGTGGTTCTTTAGCTTTGGAAGCTGTCTTTGGATGCACATAAAAATAGGCAAAAGCCTGTCATACCCTATAAATGATGCGATCTATGTGCAATCCTCCTTAGAAGATACTTGGATGCAAAACTGGTGAATTTCCATGTCTTGGTCTCCCCCCAGGCACCAGATAAAAGTCAGAAGTAGTATCCC